GAAAGTGGTTAAAGGAATCCAAGAATACGGACATGGTTTAAGATAGAGGTGCACCGAAATGGAAATATCGAAACGAAACCGAAACAATGTTTTTATTTTAATTTTTATAACATTTTTCAAAATATTTTATTTTTTATAAACTTTTTAATTTTATATTTATTCCATTTTTTTTACTTTACTTTTAGGGTCTTTGGGGAAATATTAGGGGTCTAAAACAGACCCCTGATATTTTCCTTTTAAAATAGAAATAAAAAGATTGAGGAAACAAACCCCAAATGAGAACCTTGGCGCAGGGAATCAGCTAAGCTGTGTACGCAGTAGTGTTTTGGCAATGGGAAAGAGCTTCAGCTTTTGGAACAATAATGGATCTGTGGGGACTAACCCAGGATCATGCATTATACATTTGGTCCAAATCGTAAAAGGTATGGAGGAGCATAGGACCTCTAACCCTGTGACAGAGCTCAGTTCTAGCTGCCAATTTCTAGGCCCAAGCATTGTCATATGACTGAGTGACATCACCACTCCCCCTAGACACCGACACCGATGATTCTATTTCCAGCTGTGAAGGAGTAAAGTAGGATAAGTAAACTTAGGCAGTGAGTATATGGGAGTCGGAGGGGGCTCTGCAGAGGCGCAGTCATTCTGCCCTGCACAGGCAAGATGAAAGTGTCTCTTCAAAGTGAACCCCTTGCGTTGTCCTACATTGGCAAAGAAAAGCTTACAAAGCTTATAAGAATTCAAGTTTTTCTAAACAGCAGTATATTTTGGTCTTTAAATCAAATAGTAAAAAATACTGGGACATGTCCACTGTTGGAGTATATAACACCATTTCTCATAACTTACTAATGACTGTGGCATCAGAGTCCTGGCTTTAGTCCATCTCGTAATAATATAGCAAGAAATGGCACAAATTGCAAGAAAACCAACAATAACCCCAATTATGATTCCGACAGTCTGTGGATGAGTCTCTAGAATAAAAAGAAAGAATAAGGAAATCAAATTTTAAAATTACCTTTTTTCTCAGCTTTTTCAAGACTGCTGACTTCATACTTCTTGAGAGCTTCTGTAGGTTGCAGAAATTTAGATATGTAGGCATCAAATGTCACTTCGCATATGAGTCTACAACGTTTCGTTTTTCCTGATATGCTAATGTTTAGCAGCACAAACTTTGCTGCGATGATGATCCTGCACTGTGTGTTAAAGCCAAACTCTTTTTAAAAAAAATAATGCCGGAGTTTGTGTATAATTGGAATAGCACCCGCTTTTTTTCTATATGTGTCTATCAGATTACATTGTTAATGAACCATGCACATGGATGATGCTTGAATGTATTGGACAGCCAATGGGAATTGAGATTCACTTACAGAATAAATACTCTTAAAGGGTGTCCTTAGAAAGCTGCTTCAGATTAACAGTTCTTCAGCTCTTTAGTGTTTAGAAGCTAATAACTGTGTGAACAGGCCCCTAAAGCATTGTAATGTGGATATCTGTAGCAATAACTGTATTAAAAGTCCTTTCTTGGCTGCTGATGGTAGGTTTCGAAACAAAGCATTATGCAAATGGAGAGAGACTGCTGCATGTAAGTGCATTGTATGTAACAGAGATCAGACATACAGAATCCCAAAAACCAAGAGGAAGCAAGGATAATTATTTAGTTGCACTACTGTCACTATCTGGAAATGATTTAAACCCGAACATAAAGTTCATGCATATAGACAGAAGTCAGAAAGAGGCTAGAGAAGATTAGCAGCACTGAGAGTCAAAGAGGATGAAAAAAATGAAACAGTATTTTAAGGGCAAAAGCCATAACATAAATTGCTTTAGCAAATAAATCCAAATGTCATCCAGGTTTAGATCTATTTTAAATGTTTTGGTATAACCAAAAGCACCTTAAAACCTTTGACATGATCAACAGTTCCAAAAGTGAATTTTCTTATATGGTACCAGTCTTCACTGCCCAATGAAGCAAATGGAAATACCACTGAATAGTGAATAGCTACACAGAGATTTATGGGAGACCAGTCACCGTTATATTGTATTTTAATCTTGTGTACAAAGGCTAAAGCTGGAGTGAAATGGAAACTAAGAGTTCATTCTCACCACAACAGTTTTATTGTTTGCATTTTTTTGCTGCATTAGGCAGCACACGTGTTTTGGAGGTGCTTTGGAGTGCCCTTCACAATGAATGGCACCGCAACACAAGTGGTGTGAATGGGCCCTGAGTGAACGAGAGGCAATTATTAATGCATTTCAGAATGCTATAGTAAAGAAAATACAATTCACATGCCCAAAAGGCTAGTTTAACACCTGTAAAACACAAACATAACCTACCTTCTCCAACATCAATACATTTCTCCTCGGATTTTACCATGGTCATCCCAATAAAATAGTTTGATATACCTTGTGCAGAAAAACAGTAATTCCCATTTTGGGTAATAGAAAATTTAGCTGTACATGCTTTACTGTCACGTACGGTTGCTT